CTCCTCTCGTTCTCCTCGCCGCTTGAAACCCTCCTGCCAGCCCGCTACGTCGTCGCCAGCCCTCTCACTCTTTCGTTCCTCGTCTACCGTCCTGACAGTAGATCATCATTCTTTCTCTCTCGCTTTCATCGGTGTTCTCTCTTCCTCCGGGCCGGCCGGGTATCCTTTCGCTCGTCCCCTCTCGCTCGTTCGTTCTGTGCCATCGGTTCCCCCCTTCGTTTATTCTGCTCCACTCCTCTCGAAGCCGGTCTCTCGAATTACCGTGTTTCTCCACCCTCGTGAGTAGCATTCCCCCTCAGGTAAGCATCGGGGACACTTTCCTTCGCGCTCGGACGCCGATGATCCAGCCCTCCGACCCTCCGAGGGCAAAATGTTTGACAGGGGGAATTAGGTTATTGTTTTGCGGGCCGATTGTGTGATTCCGACGACGCGGTTTCTGGCGAATTCACCAACGCCCTCGCGACCGATTAAGAGTTCGTTAGCTGGCTGTTTAGTGGATCGTTTGATACGGGATTGCTGGCGGTTAGCGTCGAACTATACCGGTTAGCGCTTCGCTCTTGCTAATTTCTGGCTCGGTGAAGTTTTAAACAGGGAGTTCTGCGCTTGTGGGATTAACGGTTCGGAGTTATCAATTGTGGTTTGGAATTTCGATGGTGCAACGATTAACGCACTCGCAGTCGACTGTGTTTGTAGGTCAAGCTGTTTGATTTTCTACTGCGAAATCTGGCTCTGGTAGTGTTTAAGGTTCTGAGGTGGCGTGGGAGGATTTTTAGGATATAAGTTATTGTAAGATAAATAAGTTATTCTCGAATGCTTCATTGGTTAACACGCTGAATACTATACGATTTCATAGAACAAAATACACAACATGGAAAAAATATAATATTAAATCATTTGATTGAATTGCATTATTATTATTGCATGTTCATCTACCTAAATGTCACCGCGTTAGGTAGCTTTATTTATAATATAGAAATGTTTTCCAATAATCGTCGTTTAACTAAGTGAACTATAGTGATTCGATTTGGTTCGTATTCAACGTGTTAAATGTTCAAATATTATTTTAAGCTGGCGGCTAAACATTTTTTTTAAGAAATGAAGGTAGTTAACGAATGTGAAAAGAAATAGATTCAAATATTAAATTGTACCGAAACTTTATCCGTGTATCCTACAGCTGAAACAAGAATAACATTTGTATATATTTTGCTTCGGAAGATTGAAGTTTGTCATGAAACAAAAAATCCGGAAAGTTTTATTACGAAGTTATAATAAAACACGAATTGTGCGGCAAACGTTGTACCTATTTTTACACTTCAGCTAAAGTGTCAACCGCTTTTATCGATGCAAGTCGGATATTTACGTAACATTGAATTTATCGTTGAACAAACTTCGCTGCAATTTCGTCCAATATCGTCACACAAGTCATTTCAAATACACACTTTATAGTATTAAAATAATAAAAAAGAGTACTATTCTATTCTTCACGTTGAAATTTATATTGTAACATTTTAATAAAGTTTTAATGGACATTCCTTTACATGATATTTAAGTATTATTTTTATGCAACGTATAATCAGTCATAAGGTTAAACATGGTCAGAAATTTGATGTTTTAAAATGTGGCTTTTGTAGAAGACAAGTAACTTTACTATGTTTCGTGCCACGTATAATAAACAGAAATATTTAACTAATGTTATAAATATAAAATTGCTGAACTTATTTACATGCATCCTACTATGGGATACATTTGATATAACGAAGCACTGTATTTTACTAAAAGACAATAAAAAATAATTCATGTAACATCACATACATACACTAAGAATTTATTACGTATTAACCATATGTAGTATGTTAATCCTTTGCCCTATGATTTATTTCTCAAGTACGATTGGTACAATTACTTTGTCATCAATAATTTATTGAAAAAAGGAAGAAAACTCTAGACATGTTCTATGCCTATGTTTGTTCTAAGGTATAATAACGGATAAAGGAAGAATAATATTCAATTTGAAATCAAAAGAATTCAGTAATATTTATGCTTGTCCAATTTTGTTTAAATTTTTCGCCACGAGTGTGATATTATTATAAGGCATCGGATTAAGAAAGTTAAGCAATCCTGCGTATTTCTTATTTTTATTCACGTATTTACCCAGCCCATTGTATTCTTCCCTTTATACACGTTTACTCTTCACATCCCTTGAGTATTCTATTTCTGGCATTTCGACCCTATGTCACTGGATGTACACTTCAACCGACTCTACCATCGGGCTTAGCCTTTTTGCTCTTTCAACCATTCCATGAACGGCCCTTCGAAATTTAAACCGCAAAAACGAATAATGATACAAAATTTAGCTGTTGCTCTTTTATTCACACTACGAAGAAAAAACAGACTACAATAGATGCAATGCAACTTTTGATGAAAATAAAGTAAATCGGAAAATGTAAGCACATTTGCATTATGATTTATTACAATATACATTTACGCTTATACATTATGTAATCGTTTATATTATGACAATATGCAATTGTTTGTTTAGCTGCATTGGTATGTTTATATTTGTAATTAGGAGTCAATTCGCGTATGAAATATGAAACTTACAATATTTTGTACAATTTCAATATTATAATTTCTCATAAAAATTACATATATACATATATTTACTGAAATTTGTTACGTACAAAGTGCTTTCGAACTTTATTTAAGATAAAAACTAGGTAGCAGTTTTTTAAATTGTCAATTTTTTTTCTTCGGTGAAATTTCGTGCGATGCTGAACGATCCCATGATGCAATGCATACTGAATGTGGTGAGGTTAAGTGTCATACTAAAGCTCTAGAATTTTATGGCTAGTAGTTAAATAGTTATGAGGTCTACAGGCGTCCTGATGAATTATAGCTCCTTCTCTGTTTATTAATTCTGATCGTCATCGATCGCTGTTTTCAATTTGTCCAGCTGTGTGCTGTCATACGCTTTCCTTATCCCAGAGTTCTCCAGCTAAACAATATTTTACAATTCACTTGTAACAGCTGGATAAATTGTTTTGAAATATATTTTAAAAGAACGATAATCATGAGAGGTTATAACAAAATGCAGTTATATTGTAAGCAAGAGCGAAATATATTGGCCCACAAAAGCATTTAAAATCGATATGTTTATAATGCAAATATTACGCTTACCGGATAACAAATATTTTTCAATTTTCGTACTGTATATTTATTTTCCATCGTGTAATATTTTCGCATTATCTTGAATTCGAATGGCACAAGTCTAAAATGTCCATTCCTAGGGACTTACGTGTTATACAGACCTTTGTTTCTTAAGAAAAAGTCTTTATTTAATATTATAACAGATTATTAATATTTATAATTTATTTATTATTACAACAAATTATTAACATTTTATTATTATCATTATCGCTATTATTACTATTATTATTAATATTTCATTTCTTAAAAGCAAACGCAGTCCGTATAATACGTAAGTATCCATTTCTATTACAAGCATATTATTTCAAATACCTTGGTGTAAACAGTATGTATAACTCTCCATATGAAATAAAATTTAAAGGAAACGTAAACGGGAAACATGATCCTTTTTACATGAATAATTAGTGAACTTTGCATCGTTTCCAAGCCACCCTGTTATTTTTTCTTGCTACGTTTTCCCTGCTCGGCATACACGTTCCCTTTTTTCCTCTCATTATCGTACCTTTCCTGTTCACCCTTCGACGCGCCACTTCCGCCGTCGGATTTCCTCTTTGCCCTTTGATGCCAGTACCATTCGTTACGATTCGAAACACCATCGCCTCTATCTTTTTATACCGTGAATTATTTTGTTTTCCTTCAGGGGCTGACCTCGCTTTCAAAGGTATCAACGCGGTATCGTGTCGAGCGAAATTGTCGCATTTTAACGACTTTTTTCCCCCTTCCTCGGGCGTGTCCTCACCGAGCCAACAAAATATTTGCAGTAGTTCAAAGTCGTGCCTATCGTGAGACGCTTTAAATCGTGTCGATTTTAATCGAAAATAACAAACCACCAATTTTCTACCTTGCAACAGCATACATACGTTAGCTGAGAATTAAATGAATTCTTTAGTAGTAAATTGGTTTTCGATAGTAAACGCTCGGCCGTGGACACTTGCAAAGCTTTCCATCCCTCTCGACGTTGTTGAATATTTAAATGGATGTCTAGAAGGAGCCATATTATGTTTTACAAATTTTTACAGAAGGCTGGTGTAACAAACTAATTAATTAACTAAAACATAATAAAATTGAATAAAATTTGTTCTCTTTAATAATAGGCAATAAATAACTTTTGTACAGAATCATTAAATTATTAAGTTCTGGTATGTCAGTTGAAATTTATAACAAAACTCATATAGTCGTCGATGTTCATATTTCTTTCATGCTTATTTTCTGACATTTAGAGCAATAATTAAGAAACAAAACTTCATAGAGACGTTCTTAACATCGCATTCTACCCTTCTTTCACAAAAAGCACCTTCTGAAAAAATTTGTAACATAAGGCCTTCTTCTAGACATTCATTCATGTAACTAAAATCGTTCACACATTTGCCATTCTTCAACAATACGATTCGGTCTTACCGTGTCCCCGTAATTTCTTCATAGTTTTTTCTCTTCTTTCGATTCATGAAAATTCCACGGGATTAACTCAATTTCCGGATATCTTTCTCCCATTCAATCGAGTACAGAAAAACTGTGAACAGATTCCTCTTGAATCAGGAATTGAATGTTTCACAGGTACATGAGCTCGGCTGAAATATTTAGTTTTATTTTATTTCATAAATTTTATGGCCATGGGTTGTACAAGCAAATCGAACGAATAT